TCAAGCGACTCCCAACCGACAGCCTCCCCGAGGCCACCCTGCGTTCCCGGCTGGCTCTCCCACCGAAGCTGATAGAAGTCACTCCTGAGGCAGACGTAGACGCAGACGACGCAACCTACGTACCTGCCACGGATATCAGTGAACTTGTGGAGACAAGCCCGTTCAGCACCTGGTGGGATCAGCCAGGCCACTGGGGCAAGGAGAGCGAGTTCAGGGGCTTCGCCAGTGTCGAAAAAGTCACGGATAAGAGCGTCATGGAGGTTTATCTCCGGCAGGCTACCATTGAGGCACTCTCTCTGCGGCAGCAGCAGGATTCGCTCCCCTCTGCTGCGGGCTGGGTGACTAAGAAGTGGCGCGAGGTATCGCGGAGTGATCTCGACCAGACACTTGCGGCGGAGCTCGTGATGCAGAATGGGCAGGCTTCTGTTGGGTTGTGGGATGCGGCGTTGATTGCACAGCGCCTTGTGGTTCAGGAGGCTAAGACTAAGGCCAAGGCCAAGGCTATGGCCAAGGCTAAGGCCAAGGCTGAGGCTGAGGCGGAGGCAGAAGTTCAGGATGAAGCCGAGAGCGTTGAGGTTGAAATTTCCGAAGTAGCTGAGACGAATGGGGTGGCTGCCATGATCACGCCCGAGGAGGCTCGGGAGATGGCAAAGGCGTGGGATGCATCGTGGAAGGATCTTGTTGTGGACGAGCAGCTCAAGTTCGCGGTACGTTGATTTCTATTTGCGGTCTGCATGGGACCCTGTTTCCACCACATACACACATATTCGTGAAGACAGAAAAAAGAAAGAGAACGGGGAGGAGAGAAAGAAAAGAAGGACAGAGAGACAAAGATGAGAGAGAGAGAGAGAGAGGGAGAAAACACAGAGACACAGAGACACAGAGAGACAGAACAACACACTAATTAGGCCACAGATCCGAAAACGAATCTTCCAAACAACCGGCGTCCTCGTCCCCGACGCCAGACTCGGCGCCGCCCGCACAATCAAGCACATCCTCACCCTAGCGGTCAAGAAGCCCACGCCTCCCAAGCTGGCGACTCTCCTGGAGGAACGAGGCGTTTTCCAGGAGCTGCCCAACTTCAAGCTCCACAGCCGCAAACTCGGTCCGATTGATAGGGAGACTGCTGTAGGACGATGGAAGGTGATTGAGGAGGAGCTACAGAAGCGCAATCTACCGGTGACGGGCACGGCGGGGTTGCCGCCGAACAAGGAGAGGCAGAGGATGGAGGGCAAGTTTGTGTAAGGTGGATGGGGCTAGGAGAAAGGCTGGCTTATGTATGAGTAGATATCCTGTATACATGTGTGATGGAACAATGAAGCATTTGCTCAAGTGACGTCGATGATTAGAGCTTGTGATTTTATGATGCGACTAGATATGGGGGTCATGATCATGAGAACTGCGTATGTTGGGCAGAGGATGAGCATTTGAAACGGTCGGAATGGATTGGCACGTGTTGCTCCTTTTTGCACATGTCTTTCTCTCTCAGAACTTATGCTTTTTACACCCGTTGGAGCCTTGGAGGGGGTATGTATGTATGTATGTAAATGCAGCCAGGGATCTGGGACAAGCCGGAAATAATGTGGCGGCCCCTCTCACGTGCATGGCCTCGGCAGCCGGCTTCGCGCGCAACGAGGCAGCATGCCGCAGCAAGCAGCAGATCATCCACCTTATCCTCCATTTCTCTCTCCGCATGCCATGCCATGATATCACCGCCAGCTCTGTCTTGCTCTGATGGCCTGACCGTCCAATACGCCCTCCAGTGACGTCCCGTACCGTCCCGATCCCAACCGAGTTCGAGTTCTTGTGCCGTCGTGAGTCGTGACAGGGCACCAAGTTCCAACTAAGCGGTCAAAGTGTGTCGCGACTCGCAACTTGCGCCTGCCTGTGAAAGCGAATGCCGCTTGTTGGGGCTGGCTCTGCTTGCTCCATCTGCGGTGGGGGAGTCGCTGCTAGCTGAGAGCTCTTGATGGCTGCAATTGTGAGTGTGTTGCAGGGGCATGGAGATTTCTGCTGGGTGTATTAGCATCTTCTGGCTCCTTTGCTGGTCCTTTGTCTTGCTTTCCTGTCCCTGTTCTTGTCTGCTCGGTACTTTGGCATGGCAGTTGTGCAACACGAACCTCTGCCGTTCCTTGGTCTTGGGCTCTCATCTCAGTGCTTGCGTCGACGCTTGCCTCTCTATTCCATCATCCGACCTTCATTGTCCATTGTCAGCTGCACCGACTGACCTGGCCTGTGTCTTGAGTAGGATTCTCCCTGGATACTGCATCTCGACCTGCCCATGTCTTCCCGCGACGACGCCCCTTCGGCTTCGGCCCCGGCCCACGAGTCGCATGGCATCACGGGCGCGACTGGGTTGCCTTCAACTCACGCCAGCTTTTCGCCCGTCACTCTATCCGCCAACACGACGAGATCGGCACGCCGCTCCAATATCCTCGTCCATCAGAAAAGTCCTCTGCTGCTCGCGACACCGCCCCAAGTCACGCGCGCTCTTGCCTATAGCCATCCCTTCCTGCTGCCCTTGAACACATGCCTCGGCCTGCTCACATGGAGCACCGGCGATCCCTGGCAGAGCTTCTTGCTGCTGTCGGCTTTTTGGTTCACCGTTCTCTACGGAGACGTCGTCGTTCGGAGGGCCGGACCTGTCGTGATTGGCATCGCCATCATTGCCGCCATGTACGGTCGGAGATATAGTCCCTTGAGCAGCAGCGGCTGGGCTGATCCGACGCGATCGCATAATGATCACGCCAACCCAAGCAGCACAGCGTCGACCGCCAACGCGACTCAGGGTGATTCTGTCCCTGCGACGAAGAAGTCCCAGGCCATGAAGCACCAGAGGGCATCTTCAGAAATCACGAGCACAAAGCATCAAAAGACGCTTGACGAGATCCTCGAGACACTTAAGGAGTTTACGGGACGATGCAACGTCTTGATGGAGCCTCTCCTCGAAATGACCGACTTTCTCAGCACGCAAAGGACCCCTACCAGTGCCACCACGAAGCCTGCCCTTACAGCCATGTTCGTGCGCCTCTTGATTGTGACTCCTTTCTGGCTGGCTCTCACAATGCCGCCCTTTCATGTCATCACCACGCGTCGCGTAGTACTGGTTTTTGGCACAATCATCTTGACCTGGCACGCTCGACCTATGCGAGTAACGAGGACTCTGCTGTGGAGGAGCTCGCTTGTTCGCCGGTCCGCTGCCGCAATGACGGGCCTGTATTTCCATAGCCCGACCAAGCCCGGGCACTCGCTCGCAGCTGCGGAGGCTGCCAGCGGAAAGGCCAAGGGGGACACCAGCGCTTCTGGATTACACGGAGGAGGCCGACACAAGAGCTCTGGCGTCAAATTTACCTTTATCATTTACGAAAACCAGCGACGCTGGGTTGGTCTCGGGTGGACGGCTAGTCTGTTTGCGTATGAACGACCCGCTTGGACAGACGAGCACAACAATGCCGTGCCCTCCAAGGATGACTTTGAGCTTCCCGATGTCGAAGACGGCAGTAAGATGCGCTGGCAGTGGGTACAGGGCAGTCGATGGAGAGTGGATGGCGTTGCCGATGAAAAGGAGCCTATAGATTACGATGGGGAGGAAGGCAAAAATGGATGGATCTTTTACGACAACAAGGTTTGTTCTTCTTCTTCTTTATAAGCGTCTTTCTTTGTTGTGCATACCCTTTCTTTCTCAAGAGCTTCCAGCGTTCCCATCTCAGAAAATTCAGCCTTGGACCGCTAACCAGCCCGCAGTGGCAGTACGGCCGCCGCGGCCAAGATGGCTGGGCGAAATGGACCCGACGCAGGAAATGGTACCGTGACGCCGAGCTCGTGGAAGTCGAAGAAGAATCACCCGCCCCTGCAGCAGCAGCAGCACAAATCGGAGAAGATGGAGCACCCACGTCGCCTCGGATAGTAGTCCACGATAGGAGCTACTCCACTGCCAGCGAAAAAATGGTGGCGCCTGAATCTAACAACTTGTCTCCGAATGCGATTCCCGCAGGCGATCAGACTGCGACCGACGATGATGAGGATGACAGGGCTTCGGTTCTCTCCACGTCGTCCAGGTCATCCTATTGGCTTTCTTCATTACGAAGGAAAACGGCCGACAAGGACAGACATCGCCTGCTGGCCGATAAGGAGAAGGAGAAGGACAAAGGATATGAGAGGGATAGGGATCGATCAAAGGCGTCAAGTCTTAGTGAGACGGCCGGCGTGCTGGGGGATGAAGCTTCCGTTTTGGATCTGGAGACGGAGCTGGAGCTGCAGAGGGAGGGCAAGGATGGGGGTGGGCGGTGGGGGATAGGTGATGATGCGCGGATGAACCTGGAGTGAGTACCTAGTGAGTGAGTGACGAGCACAGCCAGCCATGATTATGAACCTCGAGTGTACTCCGTATGGGGCCTAAATTTTAATACTTCATCATGTATCAAACACGCATGAATATGTATGTATACGTCAGAGGCAAGATACGAAATTATATCTGATATTAATTACGGCATCTTCTATTCTAATATACTCATGAATAGAGAAAGAAAGGATTGAATCACTAGTGGGCTATCGTACTGAGTGAGACTGCAGGAAGTCAACAGCGAAACGCGGCGAGCACATAACCTCGTGAATTGATCGTGAGTTGACTTACAAAGTACCAACAGGTAACAAGGCGGGCAGACATACAGCGACAACAATGGCAGGTCAAACATCAAGATTTTCTCTGGTGGCGGTACATGTGCTGTAAGTTGTAACCTGTCGATGCTGGAGCTTACTTGGTGGACTATGGTGTTTTGTCCTTTCACAAGGTGGGCGGCCTTGGCATGCGTACCAATAGTGTAATGGATTTGATTCTGATTCCGACACAAAACTCCATTTTCTTGCTCTTGATTAGTTTGTTTCACTTCTCTTTGCCCAGGAGTCAGGAGTCAGGAGTTAGGACACGAAATCGTATACACCGTCAGCCCGCAGTGTTGCCACAAAGAGTACATATTGTACAATAGCTTGATCCTGGGCAAGGCAGAATGGCCGAGTGGTCTATGGCGACGGTCTCAAGCACATGTTTATGTTCTTCCGCATCTCACAAGAAGCGTTCCGTTCACGAAAGTGGCCGGGGTTCGAATCCCCGTTCTGTCATTTTTGATCTTTCCTTTTTATTTGTCCCGCTCGGTCATGGGTGCGTTGAAAATATGCTCTGTACGGAGTACGAATGCGTTTCTTTCTGCGAGCTGACGATATGGTTACTGGCCGGGGATGTTGTTGTTCCCGAGTTGCTGCTACATACGTACAGTATGTATGTACATGATCTCAGCCGAGACACGCGGGTACACTGCAGTCGATGCGTTTGCAGACGGAGATACAAGGCCTTGTTGCCGACGGCTGGCAAAGAACTGTGACCGTGCCTTGTGCCCATTGCACTGTCTTGCACGTTGCGCCCGTGCCATCTGCTGCTCCCGGCGCATTTTTCCTCGGTTGATACAACTTGACTGGTGTCTAACAACTTACAAATGATCAAAATAGGCGACTTTGCGGCGAGATGAGATGATGGGAACCGAATCGTGCGAACCGTAGCGAGGCGCCGCCCGAGACGACGGCGAGCTGCCAACTGCCACGCCCCACGCCATTGGTCCGGCCGCCTTACTGTAACGGACCGCGGTACGGAGTACGGTGCAACGGTTACCTAGCCAGAGCCAGTGACCGTGGAGAATTGTCGAGTCGCGCGACATGACATCGCCAACCCCATCGCGCTCGGTCTTGCGAAGGCTTTTTTTTCTTTTTCCCTGTCCTCTCCGGCTTTTTTTTTTCTTCCCTTTAAGCTCGTTGCCTTCGTTCTTCCAGCAAGCACGCTTCTTGTCTGTCCAACCCATAATCGCATCTCTTTTGACCAGTTACGACTCCTTCCTCTTCTTGTTCTTCTTCTTATCTTGACCCCTCGTTATCTCTACTCCGTACGGGACTGACTGCCCCGCCAAAAGTTTCCATCACTTCCACTTCCCTGCACTAGAACGGCTTTGCGCAACGGACGAGAAGTGGGATAATCCCAATCGACTTTCACCATGGTTGAGAAGATCTACGTCACGTATAATGAGGTTCGTTTTGTGACATGTACATGTAAATTACCCACCGCTGTTGCCAATTCTTAAAGGGCGAGATGATAGTCAATGTTGCCGTGCGAAGGGGAAAAAAGAATTGAAATAGAAGAACAAAAGAGTGACATACGAAAGACCTTGTTACCGAACAGAGCTCTCTTTCTTTTTGTTTCAGTCTCTAATTGCTGCCTCTAGGTCCACGAGATGTGCCGCAAGTCGGCCAACCGCCTCTTGACCGAGTTCCAGCCCCAACTCATCATCGCCATCGGCGGCGGTGGCTTCATCCCCGCCCGGATTCTGCGCTCGTTCCTCCGAAAAGATGGCTCGCCCAATATCCCCATCCAGGCGATTGGGCTGTCGCTGTACGAGTCCCTGGGGGAAGATAACGAGGTTGAGACGATTGGCAAGGAGGTCAAGCGCACGCAGTGGCTGGACTTTACGTCTCTGGGGACCATGCAGAACTTGATTGGGAAGCGCATTCTCATTGTGGACGAGGTGGACGACTCTAGGACCACGCTTGCGTATGCGGTCAAGGAGCTGGAGAAGGATGTGGAGGCTGCGCGGCAGGAGGCCATTGGGAGAGGCGTGGCGGATGATTTGCCCAAGACGGAGTTTTACATTTTTGTTCTACACGTACGTATTTCTCTGGTCGTGCTTATTCTTTTTCCTCCGTCTACTGTGTTTTCTTTGAAAAACCGTGGGGCGTCCGTTTCGCATGACTTGTAGAGCATACGCACTAACATGCTGTTTTCTGTGCAGAACAAAGACCGCAAGAAGGACGGCATTCTGCCAGACGACATGCTCGCCAAGCGCTACGAAGCCGCGGCGACCACTGGAAACGTCTGGATTAACTATCCCTGGGAGGCTCTCGACATTGCCGAGCACGACAGGTTACAAGCAGAGGGCCAGAAGGCGTAGGCGACGCAGGACAAATAAACAGAGCAGTTTTCGACGACTCTGCATCATGATGTGATGATCTACAAAATGGAAAAGAAGAATATGGCCAATGAAGAGGGAAAAAAAATGTGTGTGTACTATAAATCCAGTCAGAGTAGATACCAATTTGTAATCTCATGTATCCATTGCGGGTGGATGGCCTCCGGAGTCCGGCATGCACCTCGTCTTCGACTAAGAGATGTTGCTGGTAGATATTGGCCCTAAACGCAATGCTTTGTATATCGTGTCCGCTTCCAAACGCCAGGTTATGCTGTTCCTCTCGGTAGATCAAAAGAAGAAGAGTGAGAGGCCAAAAAGAAAAGAAAAAGAAGACAAGAATCGCGAACGACCACTAATGACAAGACGATTCTCAACTAGCCGCGGTCCCCTCCCGCGCATGCCTCTCCTTCAGCCTCTTCTCCTGCTTCATAAACTCCCGTATACCCACCGGCACACCCCTATACACCTCATCATCCCACGCATCTCCCACAATCGCCTGGTCCTTGCCCATGACAGATCCGCTCGTCACAAAAGTCCCATCAGTGCCGCTGTCGCCATCCGCAGCCGCCTGCGCCTCGTGCTTCTTCGCCGTCCACTCCTCCATATCCTCCCTGAATCGGTCCCATACGCAGTTGACGCACCCGCTCATGCAGCAGTTATCCGGCTCCTCTGGCTTCGGCGGCACCAGAACCCCCGCCACGTACGTAGATTGAGCCTCCTTCTGGGCCAATTTATCGGCTTGATCCGCTGGACCGAGGAATCGCGGTTGTGATCCAAAGATGATGCGCGTCTTTTCCTGGGGCGTGAGTTCTCGGGCGGACGGGGACGAAGAGGTTGCGGTGGGTGTCGCGGCTGTGTTTTCGCGCGCCAAACTCGATGCTTTGGGGGGTTTCGCTACGGCATCATCGGCTTTGGATGGCGCATCAGACGGCGCGCTTGGGTCGCTGGTGGGGGGTAGCTTCTCGGGTTTGCGAGCATGGCCGTTGAGGAGGATTGGATTGCGCAGGATGATGGTGTAGTATTCTCCTAGGGGGGTTCGCTGCGGCCATTGCAGGTCCTGGGAAGGAGAGCGAGAGGCTGTGAAGTAGCGGCCTGTTGTGGCGAGACGGGATGGACGAAGGCGTGAGGTGGCTATTCTTGTAGGCGCGGACATGAGCGCGGATATGGCGGGGAGGAGCACGAATTCGGTTCTATCATCTATGGATCCTTCATGTCTCGGAGTTCGAGGAGGTGATAGGTACGTACGCGAGCGCAAGGAGGGTCGAGGACTCGAGATGTTGCAGGACAGACTACGGAGTACCGGTATGTACAGTGTTGGAGGGGGAGGTACATAATTCAAGACGTCAACCGCCACCATGATTCACCCGACCAGACGGTGATGGTCATGGAGCCGGCGGCCAGCTGTGACTACAACTAGACATTTATAATGTAGCTCCAGGATATAAATACAACTATCAAACTGAATAGCTCAGAAACGAGAACACCGCATCGAGTTTCTATAAAGTTTATCGGCTTCTCGAGGCCATTCTGGACCTTGGAAGTTGGCATCTTGGCGCATGTTTTGCTACGTATGACGGTATGTATGAGCCGCCCAAAGGCCAAAGAAGCTCATTCGTTCCTTCTTCCGCGCCGATTCAAAATGCAACCCCACTTTTCTTGATTGAGTCGGAGCGGCTTTCCTTGGAAAGAAAACGCGTCGAGGCGATCGATGTTCCAGTCGCATTCCCCAGTGCCGGGCCTGTAGCAACGTGAAATACGTATTCGTATGCTCGTGGAGTTGTGGCATGAAGCTGTCCTAATCTTGATCTCGCGCACGTGCCCTTTGATGCCTCTTCGGCCGTGATGCTGTTGTCTCGTCGATGAATTTCTGGGCATCCTCCTGACAGCAGCATGGAAGAGTCGGCGCCAAAGCGGCGACGCGTTTCTCGTGACACCGACACGCCGGCGCCAGATGCTAATTCAAATCCAAATGCAAACCCAGATCCAGATGCAGACCCAGCTCCAACCGTCGATAACCCACCATCCTTGCAGTCACAGTCACAGTCGATTGTCCGCCGCAATCAAGATTCGCCTGCATTGCCATCCAACCCGCAGACCGACCCACAGAATCTCCAACAACAACAACGCGCAGCATCGCCATCCCCATCCCAGGCCACCAGTACCGCGTCGAGGCCTGCACGAGGCCCTGATCGCACCGCGCGACAGCTATTTGCTCCTCGAGCCGTCTCGACACCAGATCCCGACAACTCTCGCACCACGTCGTTTCGACCCATCAACACGGCAAGGCCAGCTTCGTCTAGTTCTTCGGCGAGTGTTCAGTCCGGCCTGGGCAGTCCACCACGAAGAACTCCCGTGAAACCGAGCCCGCGACCTCTTCCACCGCCTGCTCCCGAAGGCGATGACGAACTAAGCACATATCTGTCGCGGACGCAAAGGATTACACGCAATACAGGGGTCCTCATACCCCCTCCTCCCGAACCCGAGCTCCCCCCCGCCGTCTCTGATCCCATTTCTTCCACCCCACCGCGAGGCATCCATAGCAGTCCTAGATGGAGAGACGGATACAGGCAGAAGCAGAAGCAGCAGCAGCAGAAGAAGAAGAAGACGAAGCACTCACCGATGAAGAGCTCGCCGTTAAAACCACGCAATGACAGTCCATCAGGGACTCCGAGGGCACGTGGTCTCTCACAAAGCCAGAGTCCCCATTCTCGTGCGCGAACCATTGCCCGTCCGCTGCGAGACTTGGGGCTGAACGCGAACACGAGCGCTGCCCGACAGGTGCCAGCGCCGAGCAAGAATGCCGCCAGACTCAAAGAGAGAGATCGGTTGCGGAAAGACATTGCGCTTCTTCGCAAAGAAATGGACATTGCCGCCCGCGAAAATGAGCGCATTCGCGCGATGCAACGAACTGGTCGAATTGTGACACCCGCGAATGAGGAGGACGTGTTGAGTCTCGTGCAAAAGACTCTAGTCGCCACAGGCACCGCTCCCAGTCCAGGGCTGGCTCATCAAATGGCACAAGCGGCGCTGAAACCCATGGGCATTCTGCCGTTTGGGCCCTCGAAACTAATACCCCAGCAGCAGCAGCAGCAGCAACAACAAGAAGGAGAT